TCTGAGAAGAGGAACCAGCCTGATCCTTGTCAGGCCTCCAGATACACTTAGTAGGAAGTTGGATCTTCTACATATACAGTGCTGGTGGAGTTCACAGAAGGAGTCCACAGATACTGTTTCAGGGATGCCTGATAATTCTGTGAGATTTAGGTATAGTTTCCACTTTTCAAGTGAAAAAATGAGGCTCTGAGGCCGGGCGCGGTGACTCACGCCTGTAATCCTAGCACTCTGGGAGGCCGAGGCGGGCGGATTGCTTGAGGTCAGGAGTTCGAAACCAGCCTGAGCAAGAGCGAGACCCCGTCTCTACTATAAATAGAAATAAAATTAATTGGCTAACTAATATATATAGAAAAAAATTAGCTGGGCATGGTGGCACATGCCTGTAGTCCCAGCTACTTGGGAGGCTGAGGCAGGAGAATTGCTTGAGCCCAGGAGTTTGAGGTTGCTGTGAGCTAGGCTGACGCCACGGCACTCACTCTAGCCTGGGCAACAAAGCGAGACTCTGTCTCAAAAAAAAAAAAAAAGAAAAGAAAATTGAGGCTCTGAGGATAAATGCTGTACTCAAGGATCTGCATCAGAGAAGGGACACCAGGCTGGCATACCCACACAGACCTGCTCAAAACCAGATGCCCTATCCTGCCCTGGCGCTTCTCAGCCCTGAGTCTCTTCTGCAGTGATAGCCCATTCCCAGTTCCCCTTCATAGGCACTTGACCGTGCTGTGTCTGCTGGCCTCTTTCTTTTCTTCCTCTGCTAGAATTGGAATTATGCCACAAGTCCAATTCAGGAAGCCCTGGATTACCCCATAGCAGAGGTGGTTGCTGCTGCTTCTGAAGATATGTAGCCCTTTGTACCTTTGGATTGGTGTTTCTCATGTTCTGCTATTCTTCATAGTTACTGACTCTAGGGTGTTCCTTCTTCACATTCCTCGTGACTCCCTGAAAGTTCTCTAAGGGCAGGGACAGTCTTCTTCTTTTCAGGTCCCCTGATGTGCTAGGTACAAAACCATGTACATCGTAGATGCCCAGTGTAGGCGTTGAAATAACAGGCAGTTCTTTGGGCAAGAAGCTATTGCAGAATCTGCTCAGTGTGGTGCAGAAGGGCCTGATTAGGGGTGCTGGAGTACCTGTGCCTGTGCCCTGCTCTGGGCCCCCTTGGAGACAGGCACCCACAAGGAGAGCCATGGCATTGGACAACAGTGTGGCCAACAGCATACTCCAGAAAATAAAGTGGGAAACATCACCAGATAATATTTGTTTAATAGTTTAGTAGCCACTGGAGGAAATATACATTGACACACCTTTTAAAAAGGCAGGTTGGGCTGGGTGTGGTGGCTCACATCTGTAATCCTGGTACTCTGGGAGGCTGAGGTGGGAGGATCACTTGAAGTCAGGGGTTCGAGACCAGCCTGAGCAAGAATGAGACTCTGTCTCTACTAAAAATAGAAAAATTAGCAGGGCATTGTGGCACACACCTGTAGTCCCAGCTACTTGAGAGGCTGAGGCAGGAGGATCACTTAAGCCCAGGAGTTTGAGGTTACAGTGAACTATGGTGACCACGCCACTGCATTCTAGCCAGGATGACAAAGCAAGACTCTCTCCAAAATAAATGAATGAATGAATAAATAAATGGCAGGTTGGCAATGATTGTATTTTAAAATACACATCATCTTTGACCCAACAGTTCTATTACTAATACTATATGCTTGCCAATACGTACAAAGATACATGTGCAAGAATGTGCACTTCAGAATTGTCCATAGTAGCAAAACATCAAAAACAGCCTAACTCTCCGTAAGTAGAACTAGTCATATAAATTATGGTGAACTATACAGTAGAATGCTGTGCATCCTTTAAAAATATTAAGATAGATTTTTAGGCCGGGCATGGTGGCTCAAACCTATAATCCTAGCACTCTGAGAAGCCGAGGCGGGAGGATTGCTTGAGCTCAGGAGTTTGAGACCAGCCTGAGCAAGAGTGAGATGTTGTCTCTGCTATACATTGAAAGAAATTAGCTAAACAACTGAAAATAGAAAAAATTAGCCGGGCATGGTGGCGAGTGCATGTAGTCCCAGCTACTCGGGAGGCTGAGGCAGGAGGATCGCTTGAGCCCAGGAATTTGAGGTTGCTGTGAGCTAGGCTGACACCACAGCACTCTAGCCCAGGGAAGAGAGTGAGACTCTGTCTCAAAAAAAGAGATGGATTTTTTTTTTCTTTTTTGAGACAGAGTCTTGCTTTGTTGTCCAGGCTAGAGTGAGTGCCATGGTGTCAGCCTAGCTCACAGCAACCTCAAACTCCTGGGCTCAAGCAATCCTGCTGCCTCAGCCTCCCAAGTAGCTGGGACTACAGGCATGCGCCACAATGTCCGGCTAATTTTTTCTATATATATTAGTTGGCCAATTAATTTCTTTCTATTTATAGTAGAGACAGGGTCTCGCTCTTGCTCAGGCTGGTTTCGAACTCCTGACCTCCAGCAATCCACCCGCCTCAGCCTCCCAGAGTGCTAGGATTACAGGCGTGAGCCACCGTGCCCGGCCAAGAGCTGGATTTTTATATGTTCATATGGAAAAGTGCCCAGGACACATTGTTGGTAACAAAAGAAAACTATAGCTTAATTTTCATTTTTGACAGTTTGCGTGTAGGGGAAAAAAAGACATTTTCTCATACGTACATTGGCCATTTCTGGATGTCTGCATGGTCACACTGGACACCAGAAGGGCTTGTCTACTTTTGGGCAGTTGCTGTTGGGAAAATTGCTACTTATTTTCTTTACTTTATACCCTCATGTCTGAATTGTTTGCTTTTTCTCTGAGCCCATATACTGTTAGAATAAAACTGAAAATCTCATGCTTTTCATATATCAGGTATTGTCTACAGCATCTGGCATGGTACAGTTTCTGGTTTAAAGTGTAACATTTTGAAGACTGTGATACTATGTATCTATATAAATATCACAAGTTAACCAAACCTAAATGGAAGCATTTTGAGCAGTAACTTTGTTGTATTCTTTGTTTAGATTTCAAATTGAGATATAATTCACATACCATAAAATTTACCCCTTTAGGCCGGGCGCTGTGGCTCACGCCTGTAATCCTAGCTCTTGGGAGGCCGAGGCGGGCGGATTGCTCGAGGTCAGGAGTTCAAAACCAGCCTGAGCGAGACCCCGTCTCTACTATAAATAGAAAGAAATTAATTGGCCAACTGATATATATATATAAAAAAAATTAGCCGGGCATGGTGGCGCATGCCTGTAGTCCCAGCTACCCGGGAGGCTGAGGCAGAAGGATCACTCGAGCCCAGGAGTTTGAGGTTGCTGTGAGCTAGGCTGACGCCACGGTACTCACTCTAGCCTGGGCAACAAAGTGAGACTCTGTCTCAAAAAAAAAAAAAAAATTTACCCCTTTAAAGTATACAATTCATTGTTTTTTAATCTATTCAGAGTCGTGTAGCCATCACCACTATGTAATTCCAGAACATTCTCTTCACCCCAACAAGAAATCATGTGCCCATTAGCAGTCATTCTTCCCCATGCCCCAGCCCCTGATAACCACTAATTAACTTTCTGTCTCTGTGGATTTGCCTGTTCTGGACATTTCACTTTCAGATAATTTTTATACTTATTTCCCATCACTGGTAAATATTAGGCAAAAGAGATCTGATGTTTTTCCTGTTGTTGTTGCCTAAGCACCGTAGGGGCTCTTCCCTCCTCCGAAGGCTTGTTCTCTGACTAGTGACCTAGCTCAGGGATGGGCTGTACATGTGACAGGATGAGAGGGACCACCCGGGGCTGTGAGAGAACCCCAATAGCTCAGGTTGCAGAGATGCCCACGTCAGGGCCCCGCATCATGGAGTAAGTCCTGATAAACGTGCTGGTTTGGGGCTCTCCTGTGCTCCTCAGGACAGGATTGCTGTGGGGTTTCTCATTTATGTGCTTGGAACACCCTTTGTATCTGTTCCCTTCTCTTCAGTATTTTATAAAAACAAAGGATCTGAAGCTATAGTCTTTACTTGTTTATATGGGAGGATGGCATGTTATAAGGATGTGAACATGCATTATGTATCATTAGCTTAATCCTAAATCCGTTGTCCCTCATGTTGGAAATAGGAATTTACCTCCCAAGCACCAAGCATTTTTTATCAAAAACTGTTGGTTGAACACATGGCTTCCTAAGCACTATAGGATAAAATACTAAACTGAAGTTGTAAGTATCTTACAATGTAAGCAGGGTTTTTAAAGGCATGAAGTTATAAGATCAGCTCCAAAAGCTGAAGAGTGGTCTTCTGGAAGAGTTGGTTTGTCACAGAAATACAGTTTGGTCTGAGTGGTTTGGACTTTATCTTTCTGTTTATTTGTTTACTCAAGAAATGTGTAGGGAGCACCTTCTACATGTTAAGCACTATTCTAGGGATCTGGAGTTTGTGTCGACAAAAGAGATCAAAATCTATGTCCACGGGAAGCATTCTTCCAAAGTGAGAGAGATAATATAATACATCATAAATGTGCAGTCTTAGCGGCAGGAGATGGCATGGAAAAAGTTCAGAGCAGGCCAGGGGAGTTGGGAGAGAGGGCTGAGCCGGGCGGCCTACTTGAGAAGGTGGGGGCCGGCCTGCAGCATCTGGGCAGGCCGCAGAGGCGGCGTGGAACCGGGGCCAGCCTAGAGCAGCATGTGAGGAGGCAGAGGGCTGGGCTGGTGGGCACTGCAGACAGGCGTGCACAGGGGCCTTTCCTGCTGGGCTGGGAAAGATGACTTAGCATCATAATGGACAAAATTCTGATCAGGTTTGTAAACAAAGAGTCACTAGCTTCTCAGGTCATTTTGAAAAATTTTTTTGTTTTTACTAATAAGCGGATTTCATATGAGGCTCTCACACTTTGCCTCAGTAATGTTCTGTTTTATTAAAGCTAACCCAAGTGTGGCTAGAACACCAGTTCTTCAGTCTGTCAAATGTTCTGCTGCCGATGTTTGTTCTCATTCGTCCCTCACTGTGAACTACTCCTAAAGGCAGCAAGAGGCGGCGTGAAATCAGGGCTCCAAAGGAGCAGCTCCGCCCGGCCCGCCAGCACCTGCCTCCCAGGACACCCAGGACCTCGGGAGTAGAAAGAGTTTGGCACTTTCTTTTGTAAGTAACAAAAATAGATCGATTGGGCAGGAACACATTGTATTTTTGAGGGAACTGGTGAGTTTTGAAAGAATTGCCTCTGTCCATTCAGCAGATGCATTATCACTCGGGAAAGGATGGAGGTGGTGAGGAGGCAGGAACATGCACACGGGAAAAGCCCCATAGCGTGGAGGTGACTCCTGTCAGGCGTTTGGGGAGTGGGTCTTCCCTGAGGCTTCTGCGCCTGGTTCACTCTTAGTCCCAACCCCCCTTCACAGTCTCTCGCTTCCTTACCGGGGACATGGGGGTACAGAACTGACTGGGGACTCTTGACGGCTGGGGGTGTGTAGGCTGAGCCTGAGGATAGAGCTGTTCTTGACAGAGCTGCCTGGCAGAGGCTTTGTAGAGAGGAGTCACAAGGAAGTGGTTAAAACCTTGCCTAAGAAAGTTCACTGTGTACAAGTCGGCATTGACACTGTCCAGCATTCAAAATGTGTTTTTTTATTATAAAAGTATACATTGTCCACTACTCAGGAGACGAGGCAGTAGGATTGCTTGAGCCCAGGAGTTTAAGGCTGTAGTATGGGATGGTCATGCCTGTGGATAGCCACTGCATTCCAGCTGGGGCGACAGAGCAAGACCCCATCTCTTAAAAAAAAAAAATACACATTCGTTGTGCAATGTCTAGGAACTAAAGAAAAGAGAAACTAGCCTTTATATTGTTATATAGAAACATTTAATTTGTGCTTTAGGTTAAGTGTTACCAAATATTTAGGATGATGATTAGTCAGTTTATTCATGTATATTTATTAATGCATGGCATAATTTTTATTAACACTGACATTTCTTCAAGAACTTTATGCATCTCATTTATATTATTTTCATTTTCCTGAACTCGAGGTCTCGGCTGGCAAAGCTGCTCAGGCTGGGATCTTGGTGGCTTGTTTTTAGGATCTTCTTACTTTACCTGTTGATGGGAACTTGGCGGTAGGAAGGAGGTGGCCTTGCAGAGTAACTTGTGACCAGGTGCAGTAGGAGAGCCTGCCCAGGGAGGGCACAGGAGACCCCATCCAATTCCATGTCCCTGGGCACACTGGTACCTACCTGAACCTGAGCCACCTCAGGTACAAAGAGGAGCCAGGTCTCTGTCACACACTCCCCATAGGCTTGTGTGAAAGTGCCCTGCAGGCCCACCCCAAGGCTCTGCGGTGCGGAGTGCTGGGTCAGGGTGTTGCAGGGTTGGTAAAACGAGGGTGGACATCAGAAGCCAAGTGCCTCAGGTACAGTGGGCACACACTCGTGGAGTTTCACCACATCAGCAGTAGTGCTTGTGGTCTGGAAGCACATCCATTGCCATAAGTGCTGCTTTGTGAATAAGAAATGCTGTTCTGACCACAGACCTCACTGCAGTCCCATCAGAGTAGGATAGGGCCACCTGCACTGTGTTGTCATTCGGCAGAAGTTAAGTAAGAAATAAAATTGGCTGAAAATGGCTGTTGCCTTGGTCCAAATACCAGAATGATGGATAGAATTTGAAGTCATGACACAGCAGAGTGTTATGTGTATTCTAAAGAACTTTGAAAATATAATTTATTAAGTACACCTGTTAGAAAGTTGTTTTTGGATAGTACTGTTAATAGAGGTGTTTGGGTAAAGTAGAAAGGAAGGAAGCATATTTGATCATGTTTTGTTTCCCTCACAAATTAAAGTTGGGAAGGATTCTCGTGTGTTACTTACCACACCATGTCTCTCAGGCACTTCTGCTTTCTCAGAGCTGTGTTTGTTACTTCCTCGAGTGGGATGATGTGATGGCACTCTACTCTCAAATTGTTTTTTCCCCCCCCCCAACAGAATTTCTCTTTCCTAAAATGGAGTCAAGTAAAAAGATGGACTCCGCTGGCCCGCTGCAGACTAACCCACCGCTAAAGCTGCATCCTGACCGCAGCGCTGGGACCTCAGTTTTCGTCCCTGAACAAGGAGGCTACAAAGAAAAGTTTGTGAAGGCTGTGGAAGACAAGTACAAGTGTGAGAAGTGCCGCCTGGTGCTGTGCAACCCAAAGCAGACCGAGTGTGGACACCGGTTCTGCGAGACCTGCATGGCTGCCCTGCTGAGGTAGGCACCCTCACGGGCTCGCTGTGGGCAGCCTGGCTCCGGCCAGTTGTCCTCACTCTTCCACCTGTTTATTTATTTGTCTAAAATATAAACCTCTGAAGGTTTAAAGTCCTAAAGAAGTACACAAAAGCCTCAGAGCCCAGCTTGTGAATTATTAGGGAAATACAGTAGCATCTCCCTGTGTGTTTCTGGCCCAAGGCCTGGTGCCCCTGCCCCGCAGGCCTCCTCCTGTCCTGCAGACTGCTGTTCCTCTCCTCCCCACTCGTCTCCTGTGTCTCCCTAACGGTGTTTCCCACTCTGTCCATGGAGCCTTAGTGTCACCTGGATGTGTGAAGGATCGGGCAAGTCCCTACCTAAGCAGAAATCCAATCCAAATCCATGCTTATGTAGCAAGTACGCAAGGAATGTGCACCGAGCCTGTGGAAGCCCTCATCAGTGCAGTATTGATGCCATTGTATAATCACAAAGGCAGGCTGGAGTTTTACAGCAAAAATAACACTGCTAAGAAAGCATCTTTATTCATGCCACAGGTATTTTATATATTCTGGGCATCGTGCTGGGCACTGGGGTTACTGCAGGGCCCACTCAACATAGGTGCTGCTGCCAGGGCACCTCAGCCTGGGAAGGGTTGCCAGCTCCTCCTCCTGGCCCCCACTCGGCCTGGGCCGAGTATAACAGCCAGCCTGCCTCTCTTCCTGTCATCCATCGTCACCCTCGCCCTCCTCTCAGTACTTCTTTCTGTGGCCTTAACCCACTTATCCCTCTACCTTGCTTGTGGGTGGAATAAGACTTGAGTTGAGCTTAATAACAGCACAGAAGCCTCAGAGCACCTGATTTCCTTTAACACAAGAACCTGGACTGCACCTCTGGGCAGGGACAGGCCTACTCATGGGGGGAAGGACTGGACCCTCGGTATATGATGGACCTAGAGGGAGGAGTGGGCCCTGAGGGAGGGAGGCTGCCCCCCCGCACCCCCCCCCTGCAGGTCGCATTGGCCTTTCAATATACAGTGGAGAAAAATAGCATGTGGAGGAAGGACTGGCTGTTTTTAAAAGGCAAGAGCATTTAGATGCTCTTTTAATAAACTGTGGCTGCTCACATTGAAGAGGTCCTCCACAAATAGCTAGTTTTGGTTTCTGAAATAAAATTTCACTTTTATGTTAATTGAAAGGGGCTTTCCATGAGGGACTGAGCTAAACTGTTCTACTTAATAACTTCCTTTAGAAAAATTACTATTTTAAAAAATGCAGGCCGGGCGCGGTGGCTCACGCCTGTAATCCTAGCACTTTGGGAGGCCGAGGCGGGCGGATTGCTCAAGGTCAGGAGTTCGAAACCAGCCTGAGCGAGACCCCGTCTCTACCAAAAATAGAAATAAATTAATTGACCAACTAAAAATATATATACAAAAAATTAGCCGGGCATGGTGGCGCATGCCTGTAGTCCCAGCTACTCGGGAGGCTGAGGCAGTAGGATCGCTGAGCCCCGGAGATTGAGGTTGCTGTGAGCCAGGCTGACGCCATGGCACTCACTCTAGCCTGGGCAACAAAGTGAGACTCTGTCTCAAAAAAAAAAAAAAAAAAAATGCAGCCTTTTCCTCCTATGGCTTCATGTTTGAACCAGATTCACCATGGCACCATGAAGCTCTGCTGGTTGCTGTAAGCTGCAGAGTGGACTGGATGGTGCAACAAGTGGTTCCATGAGTTCTGGTGAGAAAGGGACTCGCTCTAATGTAATTGTTATGTGTTTCCCCTCAGCTCCTCAAGTCCAAAATGTACAGCGTGTCAAGAAAGCATCATTAAAGATAAGGTATTCTTGGGTTTTTAATAAGTCATTTTGTCAAATGTTCTAAGCAGGGTAATACTTTGTAATAGTTTGCATTCAGCACTCTGGCACTCGGTTTTACCTCAGTTTTGATGACTGATGCAGCAGCCTCCGAGGCAGGTCACTGTAGTGTAAGCACCTAGGCAGATGGCAGGGTCGGGTCCACTCAACTGCTGCCCTGCTGTGTGAACTCTGTGAGGTTCTTCACCTGCTAAGACCCCCTGGAGGTGGTGTGAGGCATTAGGGAGGTGATGTGAGTCAAGTGCCCAGGTGCCTGTCCATTGCAAGGCTTTTCTGGTTGGGGCACTTCTGTCACTTGGGTCTTTATCCCATGTAGCTGATACTCTACTTACACTAGATTTACCTTACACTAGATTTTACCTTCAGACATGTGCTAGTCTGAGGGGTTCATTTGGATGTGTTCTCTCTTGCCCTCCTACCCCCTGTAACACCATGAAGTCATTAAACTTCAAGTGCAATTAGTTCCTTCTCTTCCCCCCATGGTGTGTGTGCACCAGTGAGAGTCCATGGGTGTCATTGCACGCTCAGAGCATGAGCCTCTGAAAACTCACCCGCCAGCTTCCTTCCTGGGGCCGGGCCCCTCTCGTGGCGTCTCTGATGGTCATCCATGTGCTGGCAAACCCTGCCAGGCACACTTGCAGTTTGAAACAATTCATTTTTAAAATATTTAAAATATCAATAAAAACATGTGGTTTTAATATTTTGATTAATGAACCTAACAATTTTTAAATGTAGGTCATTAAATTGTACTATAAAATTCTTCCTCTGGGATTTTCCTGTCTAAAGCATTTTGTAGGTTGGGTTTGTTGGTCAGGACAGCCCACGCGAGTGCAGTGATTTGAGGGTTGCTGGCACAAGGTGCCCTTGGGCTGCCAGGGGACAAGGGCATTTGATGTAACCTGCTCTGGAAGAATTAGAGATGGAATTGGTCACCTCTCCATGTACTTCTTCCTTAGTATTTACCTGCTATGCATGGTGGCTCATGCCTATAATACTAACACTCTGGGAGGCCGAGGCAGGAGGATCATTTGTGCTCAGGAGTTTGAGACCAGCCTGAGCAAGAGCGAGACCCCATCTCTACTAAAAATAGAAAGAAATTAGCCAAACAACTAAAAATATACATAAAAAAGTAGCCGGGCATGGTGGCGCATGCCTGTAGTCCCAGCTACTCGGGAGGCTGAGGCAGGAGGATTGCTTGAGTCCAGGAGTTTGAGGTTGCTGTGAGCTAGGCTGACGCCACGGCACTCAGTCTAGCCTGGGCAACAGAGTGAGACTCTGTCTCAAAAAAAACCCCACAAAAAACCTTATCTTAACATGTACCATGCTAACTTGTTAACATGTATCTAACAGTTGTGACTCAGAGAGAAGGTTGAAACAATCAGCTAGAATGATTTTTTTAGTATCTTTGTTTCATTATTTAGAATTATTGTCCTTATTTTTCAATGACATTGGTAGCTGAAGAAAAACTAGTTCTGTTAAAGAATCATTGATGAGATGGGCTAAAGGCGTGGATCCTCATGGGAAGAGTGGAGCTATTAATATTTGGGCCCCAGGTGACCTAGATATGCCACTCACAAGGTCACCAAGGGATGTGGGGCCTCCAGACCTCATCTATAAAAAGGGACATTGAGAGTAAGTAATCTTAGTCCTTTTCAACACTAAGATTCTGTGCTTTTATTATTCTGATGTTTTCAATCAATTTTTTTTTATCTAAGAGGGTTCAACTCAAATGACTCAAGGAACGTAATGGACAAAAAGGAAGCCTGTTTCTTACTGGTTAGAAATATCCATTCTGTTGACTTTGGTACTTTAAGTCATAATCTTTTAAAAAAAAGTCATGTTTATGAAAGATTAGCTCTGAGTTCAAATTAGTTTATTTTTAACTCTTAACAGCTGTTGATTCTATTTCTTTGCATGGAGTTGAAGAAGGCATATAAAACTCCCTGTCTATTTTTCCACTGTCACAGAGTGTTAACAGGTGGGAGTTTCTTAGAAATGCCTGCAGAATAAGATATTATAGATTATGTTGTTAGAGTAAGAATATTTATTTTCTAAGGGAAAAATAAAGGCAGAAAGGTTTTCATTTTCAAAAGGAAGCATTTTCATTATTATATTAACTTCATTCTTTGCTATATATATCTAAAAGAGTTTTTTTTCCAATAGTAGGCTAATGCTTTATTTTTGGTGAAAAACGAGTTATAATAGCATAACTTTAGAAGGAACCAAAATGAAAGTTTTGGTTTTAATTACCCCCAAAATACGATATCTTACAGTAGTTTGTCCATTTTCCTAGCAAGTGATATAAAAAGTATGTTGAGTTGTATGAGACTCTGCCCTTGTCCTCTGGTAGCGAGGCATACCACTGCGGCCACCTGCTCAGTGCTGGTTCTTGCAAGTCTACAGAGTCAGAGATGAACTTGGTTCTCCTATGCTCTTGTCCTGAGCTTATGTCAAAGTTAATCAAAAATGTTTAGATTCTCCAGAGTGATCTTTATTCAATATAATTTGTTTTCTTTTGGCTTAACTAATAAAATATAATAGTTAAAGTTATATTATTTAAATTGTGTCTCTTAGTGGGGGCAGCTTTTTCATTCTACTTGTGGAAATTAAGATGGTCCTTAATGCTTTCTGAGGTCCACTTAAGAGTTGCTCTCTTGATTTTTTTAAAGTGGTTTTGCCTTGTCCAAAGTAGGAGCATGTGGAGATTAAGAAATATTAATCCTCTAAAATAATGATCTTTCAATTTCAGGTGTTTAAGGATAATTGCTGCAAGAGAGAGATTCTGGCTCTTCAGATCTATTGTCGGAATGAAAGCAGAGGTTGTGCAGAACAGTTAACGCTGGGACATCTGTTGGTAAGTATGGAAGTAGCAGGAGAGGCCTGCACATGAAGGAACAGAGCCCCTTACTGTGCCCAGTGGAGGGGCTGCTTGGTGTGGTGTGGCACCTTAAGACCATGTTTACATTAATCTTTACAAACCCAACCAAACATGGAGCAGTCAAAACCACTTGAGTATAAAATGTTATTTTTACAACATAATGGCCAGAATTGTCAACTGGTTTTTAAACACTCTATTTAGAATAGAAAGAAATTTGAAATAGATTTTAATTTTGGAAGGCCCTTTGAAACCTTTCTTTACCATAAACTTCTACATTTTTTGTTGTTGTTAGTATCATATTTTATCCTAGAAGGATATTTGAATTAGAATACAACAAAGTTCTTAGCAGATAGTCATCTATCTGTTTATCCAGGGGGGACAGCTGACTTAATTCTTCAACAGCAGTATAGTTTGAGGAATTCCTGATTAGAATAGGAAATTCAGTGTCTCTTGGCGTATTTGTCACTCTTTGCCCTGAAAAACTGGTCTAATGACAGAAACATTTCTGTAGGATTTCACTGCATAGAGGTTAGAATGTATTTCAGGTTGAATTTTTGTTAATTAAGAACTTTTAATGTTTTGCCTTACAGGTACACTTAAAAAATGATTGCCAGTTTGAGGAGCTTCCATGTGCGCGTGCTGACTGCAAAGAAAAAGTCTTGAGAAAAGACCTACGTGATCACGTGGAAAAGGCCTGTAAATACCGGGAGGCCACATGCAGTCACTGCAAAAGTCAAGTCCCCATGATCACATTGCAGGTGCGGTGCCTTCCTGTCTCACCTGCCTTCTGCTCGCTTCAGATATGATTGCTCCGCAAAACCACTTTCCAAATGACTGTTCTCACAGGAATAAAGAGAAAAGATAGGCATAAATAGCAATTTTCATCTGACTTTAGTTCAGAGTTAGGCTTTATTTGTTTTGCCTATTTTGATTTATGTAATTAACATTTTCCATTGCCTTGATTGAATATCATTTGAGGTGTCAAAAAAATGAAGAATAATTATTCAAAAAAGGTAGAATTTTTAACTTGTCCCAGGGAATGGCCTCAGAATTTTGATGGATTGCCTGATCTTTTTACAGCTCTATGACATAATCATCACTTATAATAGGCTAATTTATCCTGCAGCATTGAAATGCAGCTGTCTATCCTGGGGAGATGAGAACTTAAGTGTTTTTGTACCTCAGTTATTTTGGCACCGTTCTGTTTCGTGTGTGTGTGTGTGTGTTGGGATCTTATCACTTGTGTGTAAAGAGGGAAGGAGAGATGTTGAGGGTGCATTCATTGAACGAACATTTACTAATACGTAAGGTGCTATGTGCCAGACACCATTCCAGGAGCTGGGGATTTAGTGGTGGGGCTCACTTTCTAGGGGTAAGAGATAAATAACAAACATAGTGCCGGGTAGTGACAAGTCCTGTGAAGAAAAAGTCAACTGGCATCAGGGAAGAGGGTGATCAGGGCTGGCTTCTCAGAGGTAGTCAGGACAGTGCAGGAGCACACGGGCTCTGAGCTGGAGCTGCCTTGGGCCCTGGGTTTCAGGAACTGCCGGGAACATGGGGGAGATGCAAAAGTGGTGGGGGCAGCCAGCCAGAGGGGGTGAGGACAGGGCACTAGTAGCCTGGAGCAGAGGTGGCAAGCGTGCAAGAGGAGAACACCAGGCCAGGTGGTGGTACTGGGGAAAGGGCAGTGGTATGGGTGCACCTGAGTGTGGAGCGGTAGGATTGGCTAGTGGCTGGAGTATGAAGGAAGGATGACACCAGCACTTGGATGAACCGGGGCATTCTGCCAAGGTGGGGCTTAGTGTAGGATAGCAAGCTTAAGGGGAGAACGGGCGCAGGGAGTGGTCCAGGCTGCAGATACATGTGAACTGATGTCCTTGGAGCCCTGGGACTGGAGGGGAAGGGCCAGTGTTCATGGGGACTGAGCACGTGCCAGTCTCTGGACATGGCAGTATGGTAGAAGGGGAGAGACCAAGGAAGCGCAGCCAGGGTGTGAGGGCCACAGTGGAATTCCTGGTAGATATTCTGGAGCTCTTACTTACCAAAATCTAGGAAAAGTTTTCTTGACTTTTCTTGATGAAAGGAGACATATTCTAGTTTATAATTTCCATATTTACCTTCCTATAACTTTCCTGTGCCTGTGACTTCTTCCATTGTGAAATCTTTTTTTGTATGCTACTGTAGACCTTTCTGGTTATTAAGAACTCTTAAGAGCTAGAGCTGTGCCCTCCCCTTTGAGAAATAGCAATAGTACTTGTCATGATCGAATAATTCCTCCAGTAGTTAAATTCCAGTGAATGAGACACATACCTAATGAACAGTACTTAAGGCCTTATGCCTGTTGGTATATTGCTATCAGCCTTAGGCTTTGCTTCTTGCAAAAATCAATTACCTTTATTGCAGAATAGAATCCAGCAATTAATTTTTGTTTGGGAAGGAGTTATAGAGCATGTCAGCTAAACACCATATAAGTAACTGAACAGCAGACAAGGTGTAAAGAGGTTCTAAAACATCAGCATAGAACATGAATTCACAAAACGTTAGTTGAGGGCCTGTTGGGTGCCAGGCCCTGTGCTAGTTGCTTAGGATGCACACAAGAGTAAATTGGGGTTTCTCTCCTCAGCTTATAGTCACATACGAAGTCAAATCTATTGTAGTATGGGATTGCTGTGACTGCAACTTGAATAGCATACAGCAGTGAAGGACCAGCTAACTTAGCCTGATGGGATCAGGGAAGGCTTTGTTGAAGAGGTAGCAATTGATTTGATCTGGGTCTTGAATTTTTCAACTAAAGCAGTAGTCCCCAACCCTTTTGGCACCAGGGACTGGCTTCATGGCAGATAATTTTTCCATGGATGGGGGCAGGATGGTTTTGGGATAATTCAAGCACCTTACATTTATTATGCACTTTATTTCTATTATTGTTACATTGTAATATATAATGAAATAATTATATAACTCACCATAACGCAGAATCAGTGGGAACCCTGAGCTTGTTTTCATGCAACTAGATGGTCCTGTCTGGGGGAGACAGTAACACCTGAAGTGTGTTGCTTATGTCCAATCTACTCTGTAATCTTGTTTTGGTTGCTGTCACTGCAGACCCTGCTTCACAAAGATAGGATGTTGGAAATGGAAGCAGGCTTTTTGTCGGTGCTTTTGTGGCAGTCTCAGGATATTCTGCCTTGACTTTAATCCAGAACATAGGAAGATTTGAAATTGTCTCAGACATACTTTTAAGGCCACCATCGTTTGTGATCTCAAATGGTTGATCCTCTTGTAGCACCAACAAAGTCACTGCACCTAGCTTATTCCCAAATGGCTCACAGATTCATTCCTTCCTAGTTCGGAGGCCTTTTGTGGTTGGAAAGTAATGCTTATACTTTTCTGAAAGCTGAGATAGGTGATCATGCACCAACTGGGAGAAATAGGCCCTGTCATAGTCTCTTTCAAAATCTCTGCTAATGTGTGAAACATGTCAAAAATCCCAAACATGTCAATAATCCCATGCGTTGTCCCCATAATTCCAGTCTGGCTTTGAATTCAGCCACTTTATCTGCTGACTTGACACAGTTGTCACTCTCCCCTGAAGTGACAGATTGAGTTTCTTAAGCAGGTTGAATATGTGACACAAGTAAACAAGTTTTGCAACCCATTCTGTGTCACTGAAACATGCTGCCAGTGGTAACTTTTTCTAAAAGAAATCTCTGGAGTGGCTCTCATAACTCAGAGACTCTGGCCAGTGATGTACTTTTAGAAAGCCATCTCACATCTGTGTGTAAGAGAAAACTTGTGTGCTCTGTGTGCATCTCTTCACAGAGCTGTGTGAATGGATGTGAGTTAAGGGCATGTACTTTAATGTGGTTGATAATTTTAATCACATCCTGCAAAACATTGTTTAGTTCAGTTGACATTTTTCGGCGAGCCAGCATTTCTCTATGGATGACACAGTGTGTAAACTCACATTCACAAGCGACCTCCTTGACCCTTGTAGTGAAACCAGGAAGCTGTCCAGTTATGGCAGACCCCTCTGTCCATGCATATATTGACACAAAATGACCAATTCAGTTTTCCTGATATGTCATCATTCAAGACTTGAATAGTTTTGCAGCCGTGGTGTTGGTTGCCAATGAAAGTGCACATAATATATCCTCATGCACATCCTCCTGAAAAATATATTGCACAAAAACAAGCATTGTTGCCTTGTTGTCAACATCAGTAGACTCATCAACCTAGTTAGCTACCAAGGTGACTCATTAATCCTCTCTTTTTTTTTTTTGAGACAGTCTCGCTTTGTTGCCCAGGCTAGAGTGAGTGCCATGGCGTCAGCCTAGCTCACAGCAACCTCAAACTCCTGGGCTCAAGCAATCCTCCTGCTTCAGCCTCCCGAGTAGCTGGGACTACAGGCATGTGCCACCATGCCCGGCTAATTTTTTTTTCTATATATATTAGTTGACCAATTAATTTCTTTCTATTTACAGTAGAGACGGGGTCTCGCTCTTGCTCAGGCTGGTCTCGAACTCCTGACCTCGAGCAATCCACCTGCCTCGGCCTCCCAGAGTGCTAGGATTACAGGCATGAGCCACTGTGCCCAGCCTCATTAATCTCTAACAATCATGCCTCAGTATCCTCTGCTATTTCATCCGTTCATCTAAGTATGGTGCTAGCTGAAAGAGGAACACATGCCACCTTTTGCACTGCAGCCTCTCCTAAAAGTTCATGACAAATGTTCTTAGCAGCAGACAGGACCAACTCTTCACCAACAGTAAAGGGTTTCTTAGTGTTAGGAATGCTGTTAGCCACTAGGAATGGTGCTCCCAGTGCAGGCACATGTGATGAAGTGGTGGCCTTCAAGTATTGCTGATGTTCATGGTTTTTTTCTTTTGAAAAACTCCAAAGTCTTGTCTTTTAATGCAGGGTGCCTGGTCTCCATATGATGAAGCAGTTTTGAATGTTTCTTGGCTTCATTGTGTAGCCAGTCACCACATGTTATACAAAGTAGGCATGGAGAATGTGAATCACCTGTTGCAATGTACGCATAATTTAAGTAGGACTTTTAGTGTTTTCTTTTAAATGCAGCTTTTATTTTTGTTGACAGTCTTAGAGTCTTCTGCTATCTTGGGTATTTACCCCTTTTACCAAAGAAGCTCTCCAGTGGTTTGTTTTTTATTCATTTTTGCTAGGGTTAGCTTGTGGGCTTATCAAAACTATGACTGAGAGAGGTGTGCAGTGCAGGAAAGAGGTATGGATGGAAGTGGTAAATAAAATAACGGGTGGGCCACACATGGACAAAAGTAAGTGTCAGATTCTGACTTAAAGCCTGCCACCAGATGCCGCTTCATTGTCACTTGCCACTCATTGATAGGGTTTTGATATGAGTCTGTAAGCAATTGATTTATTATGGTTTCTTTGCACTCAAACCTCTCTGCTAATGATAATCTGTATTTGCAGCTGCTCCCCAGCGCTAGCATCACCACCTCAGCTCCACACAGATCATCAGGCATTAGATTCTCATAAGGAGCCACAACCTCAATCCCTCGAATGCACAGTTTACAGTAGGGTTTGCACTCCTGTGAGAATCTAATGCCACCGCTGATCGGACAGAAGGTGGAGCTCAGGTGTTGGTGCCAGCAATGGGGAGTGGCTGTAAATACAGATGAAGCTTCGCTCACTTACTTGCTGCTCACCTTCTGCTGTGTAGCCTGGTTCCTAATAGGCCATGGACAGATACTGGTCTGTGGCCCAGAGGTTGAGGACA